TTTCTAATTTGTTACATATCTCGCATGCTAAATAATATTTCTAACATAAATTACTTAGGATCTTTCCATAAATATGGCAATAAATCCAAAATTTGTCAAAAAAATCTCATAACAGATTCCAAAATTTATTGACAAAATTTAATTCATCGTTTTGTTGAATAAGTAAAAAATCATCTCAGTTGAAGGTTTAATTATTGAACTTGATATCAAAGCCTATAAAAATCACAATTTCAAATTTTGCGCGCGTTAAGCTTATGAAGGAAAAACGAGTTTGGCATATGCACGATGGTGGATTGAAAACTAATTTTCAATAAATAATAAAAACTAAGCATATTTTAAAACTTTTAGATTTATGATAACCAACCATTTTATTGAAAGTTCAAATAAGTTATCACTTAGAAATTCATAAACTATCCTGAGAGAGGTTGTGAGGGCAGAGAAGAAGCAGCTGGACACCCTGAATCAACACATTCTTGTTTACTGTTAAAACAGAATCGCCTACTCAGCATGCAACACCAACACTCAATGCCTGCATCACAAGTCAACTTTTTGCATAGTTTTCCCTCGAATAATTTGCTGCTTTTAAGGTTTCCAACCAGGATCCTGTCATTACCTGCAGTTGAAAAAATAAATAAATATAGAAGAAGGAAAAAAAGGTGGAAACACATCGATAAGTGATTATCAAGAATCAAAATGTGGTCTTGTTTCAAAAAAATAAAAAGAAGAAGCCAAACTCTAGACATGCTCTATACTATATGACAAGGTGATCAAAATACAATGAAACATACTACAATCAAAAATAGAAGAAAGAAGGAGAAGCCATATAAAGTTTACTTGCCTTCATTAGGAATTGAAAATGATAGAATGGCCAAGAAAAATAATATGAAATGACCAAAGTTAAATGAAGCCATTGATTAGATAAAGATGGAGTTTTGTATTGTGAGTTGTGTTCAATTTATAGCCCCAGTTCCAAGTCTTAAATTAATGTAATTAATAGTTAACAGTTAGGATTAGTGTGATCATTAATAGAATAACATTATTTAGCGTTAGTTGTGTTTTAGGTGACAATGAGGTCCAACGTTAATTATCTAATAAATTTGGAAAATATTTTGATTCTTCGAACAATTGAAGTTAAACCTCAACTCCCACCTAAACTGATACTAGCATTACTCTAAATGAATTATTATCATTTGATTTTCTTTTCTAAAGAGGTAGGTTCCTTAACTTATATAAGCATATTTTTAACTTATTATGTAATTATAATTTTTGGGCATATCAAAACATATTATGATTCTTATGAATATTGAGAATATTATTTTTTTAACATCACTATCAGTTTTGGGAAAAAAATATTTTTATGAAAGAAAATGATATAAGATTGGTGTGATCATCATAATAATAGAATAACATTATTTAACATTAGTTGTGCTTTAGGTGACAGTGAGGTCCACCGTTAATTGCCCAATAAATTTGGGATGTATTTTGACTATGCGACCAATTAAAGCTAGACCTCAACTCCCACCTAATCTAATATTAAGCATCACTTTTGTTAGATAGCATTACTCTATATGACTTATTATCATTTGATTTTCTTTTCTAAAGAGGTAGGTTCCTTAACTTATATTAGCATATTTTTAACTAATTATATATGTAATTTTAATTTTTGGGCATATCACAACATATTATGATTCTTATGAATTTTGATAATATTATTTTTTAAATATCACATCAGTTTTGGTAAAAAAAAAAAATTTATGAAAGAAAATTATAAAGATGCCTTCTCCTTTTTTTTGTAATCTTTTCTGTGAAATTAGCATCCTTTCTATTAACTATTTTTTTACCTTATAAAGATGAAACCATTTATAAAAACGGGGTTGAGAATTAGAAACTCTTATTCTATACCATCAAGAGCAATAAAATCAAAATAAAAAAGATAAAGAAGAGATTTGCATAAATTTGAGATTATGCCATCGTTCATCATTATAGTAATTCGCTACGATGAAAAGAAGTTTATAATAGAAAAATAGCACATTCTATTTTCTTTAGCACCACTCTTTTGATGATAATAAAATAAACCCTAATAACGACTTCTTATTTATAAGAAAAATTAGGCTCCACGACTTAATAAACATAACGATTGTCGTGAAATTAAATCATACAAATGTTTTGATAAAGTTTAAGCTTGTAACATGTTTTATTTGTACAATCATTGGTGGATGTAAAATATCGGGGCAATGAATATTTGACCAAGCAATTGTTTTCATTTTCTGGTCCATTTCCTAACAAACAATTGACTGAGAGTGTTTAATGGAGCAAGTTTCAATGAAATTTATGGCATGTTGAAGTACTGTCTCATTCAGTCCACAAAAACCACAGATTCTTTGGTCACAAGAATGGATGGTTGAGGTTCATATGCAGTTGCAGTCTGTCTTAATAGTATTACGCACTGTTTTGAAAAGTAATAGAAAGACATTGAAAAGGCCGTCACCTAAAGGCCGTCAACCCTATTTTTACCGCTTATAATGCGGGCCAAGGCGCCAAAGACGTAAAAAGTTGCACGCCTTTTTATTTTATTTTTTAAGTTAAATAAACTAATCAAATGAAAGAATTATTATTGGAAGGGAACACATTACTGCCAGGACCATAACTGCAAAAAAAGAAAATGTTGCTTCAGGCACGGATTTTTCGATGCTGAAAACACAATATCTATTGCTAATAGGTATGATCGGCAAAAAATGATCGACCTCACATCCGTCACTATTTTAAGAGTTGGTGCCAGCAAATTTTCTGTAAGTAAAGGGTAAAACTTTTACCACTTATAAAGCTGGCCAAGGCATCAACGGAGTGATTAGTGCAGGCTTAAGCACTAAAAGGCATGACTCATGTGAGTGTAGGTGTAAAAAGGTGCGCACCTTTTTATTTTATTTATTAAGTTGAAGTATGGAAAATAAACTAATCAAATGAAAGAATAATTATTGGATAATCTTATAATACAAAAAATAATATTAAAAAACAAGAAAATGCATTATTTGATCTAGACTTCGCCGACACACAAGACCATGCATCACTACTGGCCATCCTCACTCTCATGGCATAGTTGAGATCTTCATGTGGTAATCTCAGTGCCTCTCAGAGCCCCCGTATGGTCCATTCTCTTGTAGGGAAGACAGAAGGAATGGCACGATTAGTTACTTCTTGAATATTAAAAAAATAAAAATCTCAATCGTGCTGGGGAATAGGATGGAATGGCAGGCAAGTCTTACGACTGAGACGCCCACTCAAGGACATCAATTTTCATTAAGCCAAGCAAGAACAAAGTGACGGAAGTCTTCACGACGCACATCAAAACTTGTGAGGCTTGAAGCCGCCTTAAAACATTTTAAAACCTTGAATTAATGCTATATTCCAATTCTTGGCATCACACATCATAATATTAAATTCCAGCTATTCATTTATCGCTTATGTCATATTTTCCACAAATATTAGATAGCAAATGAATAGCTTTATAAAAAAAAAAGTAAATATGTTGTTCGTTATACTATCAAATCAATACCAAACATGCACTTGATATGAATGACACTATAATTTTGTGGAATTTGTTATTGCTTAAACAAATTCTCGCTTTCTGGTTTATGATCTCTGTCAACGCTCCGGAGGACTTTCAACATCGCGGCAAATGTTACTGCTCCAACCAAAGTATGGTCCTCTCCCACAACCCAAACACAGCTCACCCTATGTGCAAGTGCTTGGATCATCACAGCAACTAAAGAACTCCTTGGATTGCACAAAATCGCCTCAGAACTCCTTGCAGGGAAATACCGCCCTGCCTTGCCATGCCTACTCGAACCCGAACCAGACACAGAACCGAACTCATCTTCGGAAGAAC